AGGGGATAGGACGCCCAAAGTAACACCCGATCGCAGCCCTCTGCCCAGAGCTTTGTGCTGGAGGTAACCTGTGAGGGGGGGAGGAAGGGGACGGGGCAAGCCTGGAGGGTGCTTTCTGTGAGGGAGCAGAATATCTGAATTTCAAGTCTCTTCTGTGCCCTTTTTCATGGCAGTCTTGGTGGCTGTTTAGAAAGCAAGGAGGTTTACAGCACTTGAGGTAAGAAGGAAGTGAATCCTGATGAACCAGCAGCAGATCTTTTCCATGAGCTTTTTAAAAACTGTTGGCTCAACACATGTGTTTTGGTCAGCTTATGAAGAAGACTTGTGAAGCCTTCCAAGCCTGGGAAGAGATGACTTGGTTTAAGTCCTTCCACGTCCTTTTATTCAAGGATGGAGAAAGCTGCCCATGTGTTACCTGCAGGCAACAGATATGCTTCAGCTCGACGTTGAATCAGAGTTAGCATCTCTTACTGGGGATGGGGAAGAGCAGAAGAAAATAGCTTTGGGGGTTGAACATGTGTCGGCAAGGGAGAAGAGAAACCCTTCTGGCCATCCAAAGGAAATAGATGTAAACACATTCACTGCTTTTACTGACAGTCAAGTGGTTGCTGACTTGAAGACTCCTTTTTAGCTCAACAAAAAGAGCCGGTGCTTGTATATCACACAATTTGACATGGCAACAAAACTGCATCTGAGTCTTCCTTTTAGCTACAGGTTTTAAATAATTGTGCACGTCTCCATTAGGTTGAGTTTTCATGGTCTTTCCCATCTGAAGATGTCTCGAATGCTGTATTTTTACTTAAATTGAGGTTTTCTGAAAATACTGATAGAAATGCTATGGGTTGCCCCCCAATATTATCTGAGCAATGTCTTTGCAGTGTCGCTTAACTTCTGTATTTCTGATGTGCTTCTGTCTGGTTTCAGACTGTTTCTACCAGTTTCTAGGCCTTGCTGCTGACTCTTACCAGTTTTATGTGGAGTGCAAATTCCTGCTAGGAACTGGTCTGATAAAAATGCTGCATCCTTTTTGTTTTCTTGTAGCTGCTACAGTGGAGGGATTATTCAGTATGTGCACATACACACATGTGAAATAAAACGGGGTGGGGGGAAACCTGAGTTGCAAGGTTTTCAAGCTATGTTTATTTGTCCTGTGTGGTTTTGAATGCAAAGTCAGCATCACCTGTCTTTATTCCATTCACACCATTCAAGTGGAGCTTTTTCTGTAGTATTGGTCCCTCCAAAATTCTGGTTTTAACTCCTCTGAGCGCTTTTCTCAGTTTCCCATTCTAGTTTTGGCATGCGACTAGAGCAAATGGTTTTAAATGTCTGGAGTGCAGACAGCTTCACTGACTATTTGGTTTGCAGGTAAAATGTCTTCGTTACAACTATACAGACTTCCCTCAAATCTGTTCAGGAAAGGGCTCATTTCTCTTTAATATTTGTAGAAAAGTTGGAGATAATATATGCTAATTTTTTTTTAAAGGGGGCATCAAGGGCAGAGGAATGGTTTAAAGCTTGAGAAATAAATGCAGAGTAGAAAGACAAAATTTCCCAAAACCTTATCTTCAGGTGGGGAAATTGCTATTCTGGATTAATTCCATTGTGGAGACTTCTAAAAGAAAAGTGGGTTTTTTTGGAAGGGGGTTATATAGAGCATTTGCAGAGGTGGTTATTCCAGAAAAGCCAAATTGTGTCCAAATAGCTGTGTCAGGTCATTTCCCCCTTACAGACAATAATATCCTCGGGAAAAGACTGTAGAAGTCTTGTCTGGAGGCTGTGGTAGGAAGATTGCCTGGTTTTGCTACGTCAGTATTAATGTGCCTTTTCTCCGCTGGTGCAGACCCTGCAGCATGCTCCCCATGGAGCATGGTTGCTTTATCGTTGCCATGTACCTTCTGCTCTGCTGGTACCTCTGGTGCTGCCGTGTGAGGTGCAGCCACGACTGAGCTGCCCAGACTCTGCAGCATGCAGAAATGCTGGCACCCGGGCTGACTGGGTGGCATCACTGCCAGGGACGGAGGGCACAGCCTGAGTTCATGGCTGTGACATGGAAAATCATCCAGGAGTAACTGAGGATGGTTGTGGACTTCCCTAGCGAGGAGAGACTGGGCTCTGCTTTGGTGTTACGAAGAAAGTGATCTGTAATAAATGATCTGTAATAAATGAAGTGTGTGTGGCTGTGCAATGGGGAAAAAGCTGCTGGAACCAAGTTACTGTACAGTGTTGTCTGAATAGCAGCTTCACCCAAAAGGCTGCTTTCAGCAGCCAAGGGTGTGTTTGAGAGGCTGGACTAACAAGGCAGGACTGGAGGGACTTCCCAGCATATCAAATCAGCCCTTTGTTAGTAGGGGCAGGCATGTTTCATAACCTCCATCATGAATCTGTCAAGCTCCATCTCGAGCAATATAAGCTTTTGCCTTCTCTAATCCCACCATGAGATTCTTTTTTCCCCAGAATTCAAAGTAATTGCCTCTAAAGCATGCAGTGATCTGTTTCCCAGGAGCTTGTGTAGTGTACAGACAAGACCTCCAGCAAATGAGAGTTAAGAAACTGGAAGACTTCTGTAATGTCCCTAGGCCTATACATGGAGCGTGAAATCTTGTGCAGCACCCAGCTCTTTGCTAGAAAGGTGCAGGTCAGCTGTGAGGAAGGACTGCTTGTGTACAAAGAGTAGGGGTGTTGTGCAGTACGGTGTTACTAAAGGAGCAACATGAGAGAGAGGTCAGAGGAAGTGACTTCTTTGGAGAAAGCAGCACTTTACTGCAGGAGCTGAATATCAGCACTTTTTTCCCCACCTTTTACTGGCACTGAGGAAGGAAAATGCTTGAGGTCTGAAGAACAGAGTGTAACTTAGTAAGCCAGGTGTGTAATAATAAGACTGGAAGTCAAAGTTGTGTCATGGAGCTCTTCCTGTCCTGATGGGAACAGAGGGCATGGTCTTGGTGACATTGGTATTTTCATTTTTGTTGGGACTACAGGTCAAAGAGCATCACTTTTCCTTGTAACCCATTGCTCAAATGCAAATAACATTTAGATTTTACTTTTCCTTGCTCTGACGTTCTTCAGCCTGCAAGGTTCAAGAGCAGTGCAGATGAATGGGAGGAGTACTGTTGCCTTTTAGCACCAGGGGATCAGTTCTTCTCAAACTGCCCCGTGGCATTGCGGAGGCTGTTCTCCTACCCAAAAGGCCCACAGCAGAATGACCTCCCTAGTGGGTCTGACCTGCTCCAGCATCCTCCCACTTTCATGAGGAATTTCCTTTGAGGCTGTCAGGTCTGAGTTCTGCTGAACATCCAGATTATCTTAAGTTGAGGTGATTGAAAACTGGGGATGTCATGAGAGGCAACTACTTTGTGTTTAACTCTTGTGAAGCTGCCAAGTCCCATAGCAATGCTGGTGGGTTCATTTGAGCCATAGTTTTCATCTGGAAACTAAAAAGAGAGGGTAGTATGTGGGCTTTTGGCTTACTTCTAGAAAACCAATGACCTCTTTTCTTTACTCCTCACTAGAAACGCAGTTGTATCAGTATATCTATACCTAAAGGTATTATTGTAAAGTTGCCTCATGCTAGTACGGCATAGCCCCCTTTCCATAGAAAAATCATCTGTGTTGGAGTAACTTTTCACTGGCATACCAGCATGGACAGTAGGAGAGTTGTACTTTCTCAGCAATACTGGAGTCAGTAATTCGTCATTAGATACGTGAGTGCAGATTTATACAGCAAGATAAAAATGTCTTTGTTCTGCTCTGTCCCTTTGCTAAAGATTCCTAACATTTGCTTTTTTAACTGCCACGAAGCACTGTAGCTCCAGTCACTCATACAAAGCTCTTTCGTAATGTTTTAAGAACCTGTGAAATGTCTTAGCTTCATTAGAGGTTTTGTTTGGCTGGTAAGAACAGAAGTTTTGAGCTGTCTGAAGCCAGGGTACTGCTTTTAGCTCTAGAAGAAGCTATAGCTATAACTCAAGCACCTGTGACACCACAACTTGTTGATCTTTCTGCCTGCAAGCAGGCCTAAGCGAGCACACATTGGGGTCCTGGCACAGATACATGCTGGTCCTTCTGCATACGCCAGCCTGCTGCTCTGAGCAGAGATCATCGTCAAGCTTTTTCTTAACACCATCAATACAAAAAGGAGTGCAATGGGGTAATTTGCAGGCTGGTAAATAAAGAAATAAAACCAAACAAACCCTGTGACCAGGTTCCAAGACAAACACTGAAGATTTCACAAATCCCTGAACAATTACTTACTAGAGTGCCCAGTAATGTCAGGCACCTGTTTTAAAGCCACCAAATAAAGTACTTGCCCACTGTTGACCCCTTCACACACAGAATACTAAGTTGTAGAGCTTTTCCTTTAGGGAGGCCAAGAGTATGAATGGGTTAAAGCAGAATAGAGTGGAAAAAGGTCCTGGAAAAGACTGATAAATATGCTCATATGGATGCAGCTGCTAGCTACAGAAATCATTAAGCCACTGAGTTTCTGAAGCTGGAAAGATCTAACCGGGGACAGATTGCTTTGCGTGTGTCCTGTTTCTTCTGCTTTTTTCTCCAAGCCACCTTTAGTGGCCACTGTCTGAGATGGATGGCAGTGGGAAGGGCCTTTGGTCTGACACAGAGTGGCTGTTACAAGTTTGTATAGCAGGGAGAAGAGCAGCTTTAGCCTTTTATCTTCTGTGGGATTGCAGTGGTTTATACCAGGACTTGAACGTGGTTTTTGCTGGCTAACTGTATAGACTTCCTGTGCCAGTTCACAGGAGTAAGCTGACTTTTGCCCTGGCATAATATTGTTAAAAACAACCTTTGTTTTCTAGGAAGCAGGATCTTCTGTCTCTTACCTTGGGGAAAAAAGTATTATTCTGCATGTACAGTACTAAGCATCTGTTTCAGTCCAGTGATACTACTGAAATGTCTGTAGCAAAGCTAGAGCATGTGATGTGCATGTGGCCTTTGTGTTGTGCAGTAACACGGTGCTTCTTTTGCTTTTGTTTCCTGAATAGGGAAGAGGACAAGAACATTTTTGATTACTGCAGAGAAAACAACATTGACTATGTAACCAAAGCCATTCGATCAAAGAAAGTGGATGTGAATGTCACAGATGAGGAGGTATGGAGGAAAAGATAAAGAGCATCAATCTCTTAACTATTGGGTGTATTAGTTCAGTGCCACTCCTTTTCAAAATTCCCTGGTTAGGATTGTTATAACAAGGTACTACAACAGCTGGACAAACACTTAGTCACTGAGACAGGGATAATCTATTTGAAAATAGCTTTCCACTGGATTTCTAGTAGTGTGGATGTACTAACTGTGATGCTGTAGCATATCAGAAACGGACTTTCTATGTTATTTTCAGCAACACCAGCAGCCACTTTCAGAATAAGATCTTCTGAATACTCCCCTTTCTCCACCTTGTACACTAAATGTGGTCAAATAGAAGTAGGAAGTGAGGGAAAGGCTTTTTTGACCGATGAACTCTGTTCACGCATGAAGTAGGATTTCTGCCATGCCATCAGCTTTTCATTGTTCCCAGGTGGAGGGTAAATGAGTGACCCTGGCTTTCCAGCTTCACAAAAACAGTGACATCGTGCAGTCTTTCTCTGCTCATCAGACTCAAAACACCATTTCCCCCTAGGGAGATAATACAGGCATTGCCAGAAACCTCAAGAAAAGGATAAGTGTCTAAAATTGTGAATCAGCTTGATCCTTTTCTTGGTAAAAGTAAACACCTGGTATGGACAGTTTCCTGTTCATCCGTCAGGAAGCGTAGCTTTATCACCTTGGTTTTGATGCTTGCATACTGCCACCTAGCCCTGCTCGTGGTCCACTGTATGTACAGCTACTTTTGCCCGCTGCTTTCCAGCACATTGTGTTTTGGTGAACAGATGAAGTGCTTACACATTCATAGACTGAGACGCCACAAATTCAGTTGGGTTCTTCGGTAGCTCTAAGCAGATTTCTGCCCTCTGAGCCATGACAGCCCCGGCTGGGGCTCTGAATGCTGATGGCAGGGCCTTTTATTATTAATCAGGAATTCATGTGAATTAATTTTCAGAGGAGAGGAGGGAGGGTGTTCACGATCAGGGTTGGAATTTCACATCATAAATTCAATGAACTGAAACTGTCATGTGCCACATAGTTGCTGCAACAGCGCCATT